GTTAATGATGGGCTTCCTGTAAAGATACATGGGTTATCCAAAGTAGGGGCTTAGAGAATAAGTGTGTAGGGAATTTTCTTAGCGGAAATGTGTCCACAAAGTTCTTGGGCAACGTGAGAGCTTTAGCTGGAGACTTCTGCTTGCACGATGCAGCCTTTGAAAACTCTTCCCCAAGCTGCTGGTAGGGCAGGCGGGTGCTGGAGGAGGGTGCCGGGAGGTGCATTGAGCCATATGGTACATACACAGTTTAAAAATAATGTTGACTGATCAAATAAATAGCACTTAGGTTTAGAACTGAACAGCTAGTGCAGACTGCTGAATATAAAACTGTTTTTACCTCAAAGGAGAGCTGTAATTCATGGTTGTAATGCCACAAATTGCAAGTTTTCCAACGCGCCGTTCACAGTCACTACAGCCAAGGTTGGGTGAGTGTGGTCGGAGCTGCTGTGCCAATCAGACCCGGCGTCCCACACCAGCCCCGAGTGTAAAACACACCCGTAAAATCCAGCAAATGGATCTTATTTCTGGAGAGGAGCGGTTGTAAACTTGCCTGCATCAGAAAAGGCTCCGCTCCTCTTCCATTAGGCTTTATTTAATACAATGCAATTTATTTTTATATGGTGTCCTTCAGCAGCGTATCACAGAACTCTTTTCAGGCAATGTTCATCGTAAACCAAAGCTGAGAGAGAGAATTTGAGCCCAAAGTTTGAACAGAGGAGGGACTCTAAAGGTTTCACATACAGCTGGGTGGCATTGGAGTTGCAGAGAGCCAGCAGGAAGGACAGAGCTGCAGTAGCAGAATAAGTAGGTGCTACGTCTGCAAGGTGTAAGCGGGGTGATAGATGGGTGACATTGCATGGCATGTGTGACATTATGGAAATAGAGAGAAGCAGCCAAGGAGAGGAGAGGGGAAAAGGGGCAACTGTGGCCTTGCTCCTGGGAACGGAGAAAATAGCATCTCCTCTTGCCATCTTGGACCTTGTGAGAAGAGCTGTGTGGTGTCCCTCACAGCAACAACATTGGCCAGTGTCTATCTGGGGCACTTTGGAAGTCAAAGGAAAAAGGGGATTGGTGCAGTGCGAAATATTTTATCCTTTACGTGTTGAAATGAGTGACCCCAAAGGAAAGCAGCATTAAATAGAGTTAGCAAAGAAATGTGGACGTAGTGGGAGCGATGTGCATTAGCTGCTCTCGCAGCTGAATTAATGCAACTCCGTGGCTCGTGGCTTCTTGAAGGGCAGGCAGAACAAATCTACGTTTGCTTGGCAAAGATGGGTGATACTTGTAATTTCATGCATTTTTGGCTGCTGCAAGCCAATGTTTCGCCTCTTTCCCTAGGGAAAAAGTTAAGCTTGGATTTGGTGGTCTTTAGTACAGGGGCTCCTGTTCCTATAGATTGACCTAGCTGAACTCTAGCTAGTCAAGAGCAAGAGCCAAAGCTGTGGTATTTCCAGGCAGCTGTGGATATTTTCCGATGTGAGGAGTGTAAAAGCAATGGAGTAAAAAGCAGTGACATTTTCAATATGAGAGACCAAAAAAGACCAACTCATATTTTATTTATTTATCCAAAATAGTTTGCATTATTCATTAAAGTCGGTGTAAGTGTTTGAAAATACAAGGTGTTTCAAGAAGCGGCATCATTAGGAGGAAGTTAATAATTTGGCAATGTTAATTTTGCAACAGATTAATGATTTTTTCAGAGAGGTTTTTTTTTTCCTTTCAGACTCTCGAGCAGGGGCAACTTTTTGTGCGTGCACTTGGCCTGAATGCAAAGGAGACCTTGCAGGATGATGTCCAAATATTTTCCCTCTCTGTCTGTTCTCCTCTTGTTTTTATATATTTTTTTCCTCTCTGCAGACAAAGTAAACAATCATTGCCCCTGACCCAAAGCACAACTTGATAAATCTCATGCTCACTTTCCTGGTTCTAATCTGTGGTTTGCGAGGGCTGGTTTATCATCCCTTCCCTGGGACGAAGGCCGTGGATGGTGTCTCCTTCCCGTTGATGCTCTCTGCAGAGAGCACCTGCGACTTCTCGTGTCGGTTCAGCGCGAGCGCAACCGAATCAAACACAGAAGCGAAAGGGAGTGCTCCAAATACAGGCACTGGAGTTTTCAAACACTGTCTTTTAAAGATATAATTAAACTTAATTCTCCAAATGTTGTGAAAGATCTCAGAGGATCAAGCCGTTCACTGTTCTGTAGGTGGTAGATAGAGTGGGTGGAAACACTAACGCTGTCATCAGAATCCTGCTCTATTAATGCACCTCGACCCGTCCTGAAAGGAGCTGCCTCTATTCAGTTGCCTCTACAGCTGTGTCTTAAGCATTTGTCTGAAATATGCTGATTTGCACTCCATACAAATTAGGGCTTGTAAAACAGTTTTTCCTGACAGTGCTAAAAATTTGGCGGGAATCATCGGTATTAGGTAGAGCTTAAGAATTAGCGCAGCCGCTTCCTTGCATTGGGAAGCAGAGCGGACAATGAGCTTCCTCTTAGCTTAACATCTTCTCTTTGTGTGGGGAAAATGAGCAAGATTAATGAACATCTCCGGGGCGCTGTGCATGGCACTTGTGCAGTTGGGTGGCTGCAGAGAACCAGCAACATGGACAGGGCAGAGCCACGGTGAAGAGACACCAGGTCATTCATCCAAGGCCATGTAGAAGTGCATTAACAGATAGGGGACTATACAGATAGGATTCAGAGCCCTAAATGCAGACTACTTGTGACATTTTAGGCACTCTGTAGTGTCTGAAGCTACCCTGGGGCTGGCTGGTGTGACGCAGAACCTGCACAAGATCTCTCCTCATCAGAAACATGGGGAGATGCCACGTAAAATACCCAAGGGGGTCTCAGCAGCTCTGCTTCAGCAATGGGATCCCAGCCTACATTTCCCAAGTCTACTTGTTCAGGTCACCTTTCTACCCCATTGCTCTCCTGCACGAGGCACTAACTCGTCAGGAATAATGAAAGCTCTTCCAGCAGTTCATGACTTAGGGCATCATCAGCCTCTCGAGCTGATGAAAGGCAGGAAAGGCAGCCTCCGAGATGCGGTAGGAAAAGGCAGATTTACTTTTCCAAGGCTAGGCTGCATTTATTAGAACAACAAAAAAAAAAAATCCTTGTTGGACGTCTGAGATATATTAAAGCCACTGCCATCTCTGACAGCGGGGCAATATTATTTACCACTGCAATGTAGTCAGTGAATTTTTACTTTCATATGCATGGTTTTGTCCTGAACCGTTGTAAGGAATGTGCAGCCAAAGGGAGAGTGTGAGAAGATGGAGATCAGAGCCACCAATTAACCTTCTGATTTTGGGGGCTGATCGCTCAAAGGGCTGGACCCAGTTGAGAAGGGACCCGGGGAAGGGTTGTGGTAGTCCCCCAGCGATGAGTTTGGTGACGCTGGGGAGGTGGGTGGCCAAGAGCCTTTTGGAGCTCAGGGGATGACGTTTCCTAACTGGTTTGCTCTCGTTGGCAAAGCAGCAATAGCTGGAACAGGCCAGCGGAGAGACAGAGCAAGGGAAATCGTTTGCCCTGCCCTTATCTACACGAGTAGCTCAGGCAGGCGCTGAATTAACCGGAGGACAAGGGCTGGCCTTAACTCTGCCCACAGGGATGCTCTCCCTCACAAGGAAGGGGATGGGTAGCTCTTTTAAACTGTTAAAGAATTCCTCTCCTTTCCTAGAGATTCAACTGAACTGGGTTCCAGCCTAGTGGCTGGAATTCTGCCCCCGTGGCGTTTAAGGCGCCTGAATTCACTACCTTTTCCATCGGAGGGGCAAGGGGCAGCTCGTGCTGCAGCCTTCCCTCACACTGCATTCTCCATGCCCTGGTTCTTGGTGCGCTGCACCGAGGTTGAGGGCAGCAAATACTTGACCAAACCTTTATCTCAGTAGCTTGGCTGACAACAATACTTTAGCATGGACTAAACCAGCCCCCAACCATCTTTTGTGCTCAAGCTTGTGCTCAAGAAGCTTCCTTGCATAGAAGCTTCTGCTGTCCTAATGCCAGAGCCCGAATTAGCTAAAATAAAGAGCTGTGGTCTCTATGTGCTGCAGTTATGCCACTGATCTCTGCATGGATGCTGCCTAAACACTCAGAGTGACAAGGAGAAACCTGAGCGGGGAAGTCTGTTTGCTTGGAAAAAGTCTTTCTCTTTTTTGCATTGTTGAGAAACGGGCTGACTTGGGAGAGATCGCTGATGTATAGGAAAGTAAAGCCAATCTCTGTAATTAACGGGGGGATAAATCGAGGTTTAATTACTCAGAAGGCACCTGGGGTGAGAGATTCATGGTAACTGGTGTGTAGTGTCTCGAAGGATTCCCAGCGCTGGCATCTCCCTTTGCGGCAATAAAACGGGGTGAGTGGCAGGCAGTCTCACAGGACCTGTCTTGTAGGGACTAGAAGTTAAGGTAGCAAATGGAAAGAGACAATGGTTCTCTTTGGAATGTTTTTATAACAATAAAAGCCCCTTCCCAAATCTTAAGGGATTCCCAGGCAGTGTGACAATGTGAGACCAAAGCACTCGGAGTCGACTCCAGCGTGCGCTGGAGGAGATTTCCCTTATTGCCACCCTCATCCCAACACAGCCCTGCAGGGGCACGTTTGTAACCACGTTTTCCACTCTCTTGCTCCTTGTCACACAATACCCTTCTCTTGGGTCCTGGATAGGAAATAAGATGTGTGTGTAGGGGGAAACATGCTGTAGCTTTGAATTGGGAAGTAAGTTGCTAAAAGGCTGGCCAAGCAAAAGAAAAATTCCTGAGAAAGAAAAGTCTGTTTTCCTCATTCCTTGGTTTATCTTTTGGACTTCTGGGGACAGGAGAAGGGGAATCTAGCTTGCCTGTTTCTTACTGTGCTTGCTTAAATCATTTGAAAAGGGAAAAAAAAAGGTAATTAAACTTCTCAATTAGCTTCATTTGGCTAGCCCTGTAAATGCAACACAAGGTCTCTATGCTGGTGCCATATAACAAAGTAGCTGTTCTGTTCCCCTTCTTAGAGCTGAAGAAGCAAGTGGAAAGCGCAGAACTGAAAAACCAGCGCCTGAAGGAGGTTTTCCAGACAAAGATCCAGGAGTTCCGCAAGGTGTGCTACACGCTGACGGGATACCAGATTGACATCACGACCGAGAACCAGTATCGACTCACCTCGATTTACGCCGAGCACCAGGGGGACTGCCTGCTCTTTAAGGTAAGGCCGCGCGCTCCTCAGCGCACCTGCCTCTTTGGGCTCCTGGTCTGCAGCACACCAGAAGGTATTTGCTCCTTCTCTGTCATTACACTGGAAAATTATTGCTGCCTTGGTACGTGACAAGTTTTTCCTTCTGAGGGAAGTAAAAATCCTTTCTTCTTTTAAAAAATTGCCTTAGAAGCTTTGGTATGTGGTCTTCCACTTATATATTGAAGTAAACGGGGAGTAAGTCAAGATGCTATGTATGCACAGCATCTAAGATGCCTGGCCTCGCAATTCACCTTTTTCTAATAGCAGTGATATACACTATAGCAGTAAAACCTTATGTAACCATCGAGGTTTCACCCTCGCTTCGCCATAAGAGATGTCCTTATTCCTCTGCTATCCTCTCTGCTGCCTGTGCGCCGTCGTCTTGTCTTCATGTAAATTGGAATCTCTTTTGAGCTCGGCCTTGTTTGCACGAAGTGCCGTTTATCTGAACGCCTCCGATGAGTAACAGGAATAGGCAGTCTGCTGTCAGCCGAGAGCAGCATTGGCCTAGCTAGGTGGGCTGAGCTTGGGTTGTGTTTGATAGGTGCTTTTTTTCCCTTCTGTGTTATCTTCCAGATAGCACAGTTGGACTGACACATCAGAGAATGAGGTGTGGCATCAGAGTCACCGAGCTGTTTAGTGACATCTTTACATTGGTTTGAATGTCAACAGCCCAGGTTTACAGGTCAGTGGGAGAACTGTTCCCTTCTCTGTGGCAACCACAGCTGGCACTCAAAATCACATTTGCTTCCAGCTGATTCCCCTAGAGTGATTCACATTTATAAGAATGAAGATTTTGGAGGAGTTCGGTGCGGGCAGGGAATATACAAGCAGGAGCTGCAGAAGTTCTGTTTCTGCAGCCCTGCTGCCACGTGCAACAGGCTCATGCTGCAGTGTTATTTCTTTACATGACAATGAATAGGCACATGTAATTCTTACTGCTTAAATGATGTTCTTGCTTTCTTTCCTTCACTCGAGTCTTCATTCACAAATATTTCTGGAAGAAGCATTTGGTATCACCAGGTAGGGCAGAATTTTCAGGATCCCAGCTTCCCAAATCCAAGGATGAGTTGATTGTTGGTTCATGGAATTCCGCTGCATGTCTGACTTGACACACCTCTTTGGATAAGTGCAGCAGATTTGATAACCAGAGCCTGAACAATGGAATCTGAGCCTCTTCCTCACTGTTCAGTGAATTGGAGAGAATTCCCAAAGTCTGTAGTTTAAGGTAGCAATGGAATATAAACGACAGAGTATTTCCTGCCCGAGTCCTGGCTGCTGCTTCTCATATATCTACCAACACTTGAGTCCTGACTGTGGCTTTTGAGTGAGGCTGTGTGTTTGTGCTGTGGAATTTCTGAGCCATAACTGACTCACCGGTGTTTGTGTACGTTTCATTAACCCAAAGAGGTCACAAAGCAGGGAGCGCTATTTGTATTTATTCCATTCAAGCAATTTATGGAACAAGGTCTATATAATTAAACCGGAAAAGTCCCCTGGCTCTTTACAAGCTTCTGTAGTTTGCCTGTAAACTTTAGGGCATATTTCAGTAGCACTGCTGGTGGCATTTAATTTTCAGTGTGGCTTCAGTAGTAGGGATGCAGTAGTAGCTTCTGTAGTGTAACTTCTTCAAAGCTAAATGAAGATGAAGGACGTGCTTAGCTTCCCCAAGTAATGTATGTTGTTACTGTAGTTAGGGCACAGTATCTACATGCTGCATGTTGCCAGTCAATTCACATTAATTGGAATTACAGCCTCAGCGAAAGGGTTAATCACAACAGCATGCTGTGAATATGAATGACTGCATCCAGAAATGAGCCCTGAATTGCAATGAAGCCATATCAATATTTATTGGCAGTCCCTATGGGTGCAATAGATGAGCTCATCAACTTGAAGGATGTTCCAGTGGGGTTCACACCCTCCGTGTGCAGGTGCATAAGCCACAAGGCACAGCTCAGAATTCACATCTCGCTCTTGCTTGCACTTTTTAGTTCTTCTAATTAGATGCTGTGCGAAGTGATGGACAGATTTCTCGCCAGCATTTTAGTTTCCAAAGATTTGGGCAGAAAGTAATACTTAACAGTCACTGGGTCACTTGGCAGTTTCATATTCTTTTACTGGTACTTTAGATGTATTAGTCCATAATACAAACTTAGCATTCTGCATAATGCTTGGGATGTGTATCTAGGGCAGGCCACTCATGAGATACCCAAGACTGCGTTTACTCTCTTTGTAACAAGCTATTAAAGATATCTATTAACACAAACAAACGTTGCTGTGAAGCCTCAAAACCAGTTCAGCCAACTCAGATTTAAGCTGCGGCAAATGAGACCGTTGTTGTTTGGCTGCATGTACATCTTGCTGTTTACCCTTGTCTCCAGATAAGTCCTGAATGACAGGAGGGAGCGAGGTCTTTAGAAAGGCAATGGAATTTTTTTCAGACAAGGAAAAGCTTTTCGTAAACAGAGAGACCGGTTGAATTTGAAGAGGAGATGATTTGGAGATGCTCATAAAAATGGACAAACAGTGCAGAGAAAGTAAATACTGTTTTTTTTTATTGTGTGTGTGCCTAAAGAACATGGTCCTCAGTCAAGTTATTTGAAGCCAATTAGCCTTAAATAATAGAGCAAATCCTTTTAATTTATGACCATGCTGCTTCAAGGTGCTGCTGAGAGCAGGAGCTCAGCCTGTTTTGCAATTGTGGTATTATGTGTCTAAGCCATACACAGTTCTGACCGAAATGCTGCAGCTAGACAGCACCTCAGCTTCTGGTTCCCCTTATTTTCTGTGTCCCCAGAGACGAGTCTTCCAGAATACAGAATTCTGTCTCGTTCCAGATCTTGCCCATGTTGTTATTTTCTGCCAAAACTATCACATGGAAACACAAACGCTAGCAGCACTTTGTAGAAAAGCATCCCCAAGATGGTAAGCCTTCTACCTTGAACGAGAATTCCCAAGATACCAGCCAGGAGATGAAAACAGAAGCATCATGACACAGTTTGCAGATGTTGCCAGGCTTGAGGCTGGCACTTCTCGCTGCGAAATAAAACCTTTATTGGTGTCCAGTTGGAAAAGTGATGTGGTGTTAAAATCAGCAGCTTCTCTGCAATCTGCTGAATTGTCAGCCAGGGCTCATACACTGTCTTTGACTCAGATCAATTAAATAGTGATGTGAAGAGCTGGTTAGCAGGCGTATAAAACTTCAAGGCATCCTCAAGAGTTATCACGTGCTCCTTGTGCCAGTAGAGCAGCAGAGCGTAAGCGGTGGGAGGATGAAGACTTGTCTGGTTTGGGGATTCTTTGATGGATGAAGGATGCAGCGCAAGGGCAAACACCAGCTGTGGATTGATGACTGGCAGGGAACATTGAAGGAAAAAGTTCTTAATGACACGATTAATGAGGATGCAGGTGTTTGGAGTTGGTGGTCCCAATGGAGCCTTCATCTGGAATCACCTCAGCCACTGATCCCTGGAAGGTGGGAGTGGCTAGGTAGCTGTAAGTCACCCCATGTTTATTAATATTTAGTGTTTCTTAAGCTTCTTTTCCCTAAACATGTGTTGGTGGTAGCTGTTTGCAGACTGGATGCTAGGCTAGAGGGACTTAAAGCCATTCTTATCATAAAGAAACAACTGGAGCTTAATAGGAGCCTGAGATAGGTAGTACCATTTCAAACACAACATGATGCCAACAAATCATTAGCTGAAATGGGGAGCCAGAAGTCAGATAGCTAACTGTGCGAGGGGCAGCCTGCTGTGCCGGGGTGCCGGGCGGCTGGGCTGGTTAACACGGGGACACTTCTGCTTGTCCAAGCGTTCGTGTTGGGTCTTGCAGGCAGCCCTAATCAGCTTCCCTCATCAACAGCTCCCGAGCAAGAGCTGTCAAGCAGTCGGTGTTGTTGTAGGATCAAATCGTGTATTTTAGCTTCCTACGTTTCATGTTACTTCACCTGTTGTACTGATCTGTTTCATTTTAGGACCTAACTTGAATTTTTGCTGCTGTCTTCATGTTACTCTGCTCTTTCTGTATTTTTTTTCCTCCTCTTCCTCCTGACACTGCTTCTCTCTTACTGCTTCCTTGAGCAACAACCTACCCTCTACGGCAGGGTGGGCTTTTCTTTTTTCTTTCTTTTTTCTTTCTTTTTTCTTTCTTTTTCCTTTCTTTTCCTTTCTTTTTCCTTTCTTTTTCCTTTCTTTTTCCTTTCTTTTTCCTTTCTTTTTCCTTTCTTTTTCCTTTCTTTTTCCTTTCTTTTTCCTTTTTTTTTTCCTTTTTTTTTCCTTTCTTTTTCCTTTCTTTTTCCTTTCTTTTTCCTTTCTTTTTCCTTTCTTTTTCCTTTCTTTCTTTTTTTTTTTTTTCCATTTATTTTAGTAAAACCAGTCACCTCAAGGATACTGGAACTGAGGGAGATCGAGCAGTCATACAGCAAAGCATCTACCAGCCTTTCGATTGTCCAGTTCTTAGCAGCCCAACGCAGCCCACACAGAGCCACCACCACGAGCGGCAGCTCTCACTGCCACGCTTCTTTCTTGAGTAAGCAGCATGTTGTTTAAATACAAATATAATTAGGCCTTATCTCTTGCTTTGGGAGTTATAGCTGTTACCTGTGGTTGACTGGGGCAAAAGATTTGTTAATCTCCGTGGAGGAAGTATAATTAGTGATGGAAGGGTGTGTGGGGGGGTTGTTGTTTGGGCGCATAAAAAGTTGTCTGCAAATATTGAAACGCAGCAAAAGATTCCCGTGGGGCTGTGGTCTTGATATATCTATCATCTCTGTCTGAATTCTGCATCTGGACTCATATAAGTGTCGCCCATTAATTTTATTTGTTGTGGTGTGAATATAAATGATTGTGTTTTAGCATCGTCTGGGATTTAAGAGTTAAAAAGGTTTCAAACTAAACCTGGTTTGGCTGATGAGGTTTCCCACCAGGGTTTTGACAGGGGAGGGATAGAGTGGGGGGTCACTGAGGAGCAGGGAATGGGGTGTCATGGTCCTGGTCCTCCTGTGGCAGCCAAGGGACCCCCAGCAAGGGCTGAGCCCAGGGCCAGGGCCCAGAACTGTCTGTTCCCTCTGCCATCCTTAAGACTGCGCTTCAAAGTCTAAAGGTTCAATTACTACACGGCTCTTATGCATGAAGTTAGTGCTGCATAAACCAGTTAATATGCTTTTTTTTTCTCCAACTTGCTTGCCAGTTTAAGATAAGAGGCTGTATTTCAAAGCTTGTTAGGCAGTTCTTCTTTGTAGGAACACAAGCTCTTCAAGGGTTGGGTGTTCCCAGAGAGCTTTAACTAAGCAGAGGTCTCCTGCATTTTATTTTTGAGAGGCTGCTTCTAGAAAAGCAGAAACACCACCCTGTGCCCTCCTCTGCGAGTGCATCTTCTGCTCAGGATTCCTAACTCCGTCCCAAGGCAGTTGTTGCTGCGGATGCCTGGATGCTCGTCGGGAGTTCAGACCCGGCATTTCTTGAGATTAGATGTGCTCCACACCACGGAGGGACTCGAGCACAATGTTCCATCCCGGCTCTCCACATCATTACTTGTTCCATCGGAGTGATAATACGAATCTATTCATCTTCCTACCCTTGCCAGGGAGCTCTGTC